GAAACTTTGCCCGTCAGAGTGGCAGGCGAGCGAGTGCGAGTGCCCATCGTGCAAGTGTTTTGATGTTTGCGCATTCAACTCTCCAATTCCAGCCTTACAGCCCTCCTCACATCCTCCAGTCCCCTCTTCCTATCCAACCTGACCCACTGCCTCTGTCCGCTGTTCAAGCAGCTCAAGAATCCCGGTACAATCTGTTGAATGAGATGCAGCGCTTCTTTGGCTTCCTTGCTGCTCAGGCAGTTGGGACAGCTCTTGCGCACGCTTTCCAGCACTTGTTCCATCGGTAAAGCTGCCGATCTGCTGCTTGTGGATAGCGTCGCCGAGGTCAGACTTCCGCCTCCTCCGCTCGAGGTTGAGTTGGAACCGGCGAGGAAGAGCAACCATAGACCTTCGGCGATGGAAACGAGACGCGATAAGGTGGATCGCCTGGCAAAGCGCGCCATCCATTCGGCAGATGTCGAAGGTGCTAGTGCGCGCAAGGATGCCTCTTTCCTTTTCGTCGACGTCCCCAGCTCTTGCTCCTCTACCACAGGCGCCCCACCTGCGCTCGCATCGGTCTCCTCCAAATCTGCCACCTCGGAGCGTCCAGGACTAGCAAATACGCTTCCGCCGCCCCTGCTCGAAGGCGTGCTAGGCACATCCTCCACCTTGCCGCCCATCCTGCGCGAATCGAACCATCGACTCCTCTGCGCAATGTCCTGCAATCGGCCCCTCTTTGCTTCCTCTTTGGCCCGTATGCGCTCTTCCAACGACATTTTCTTCGTCGACGCTGCACCACTCGTACCGCCAGCACTCGAACCGTCAAAAGGCACAGGACCTGGCACCAACGACGAAGCACCATTGCGAATCAGGGATGGTGTGGACTTTTGTGGCGCCGCTCGACTGTGCGCGCTAGCTCCCGCCATGCCCGAGCGCAGCATGTCCATGCCAGGCGCGACGGAACTTCCGATGGCCGCTTTAAGTTCCGGCAGAGTGGCAGGCGTGGGTAGCGGTGTGTGTTCCAGGGGAAAGTCGTCGTGCCAAGCTCGCAGCACTCCTTCATCAAGCTCCTCGCCCTTCACCTTTTCGTCTCGCACCCCTTCTAGCCAACGCATGTGCGCCCTAGCCACAAAGCCGAGCAGTCTTTGCTTAAAGGCCTTTTTGCGCGCTTCCAAGCCCATGTTCCAAAGTGCAATGATGGACATGCCCTCTCTCGCCTTGCTCGGGCTCAGCTGTTGACTTTTGCTCGGTCTTTTGGGACTCCTATCGAGCGTCGAGGCGGGACTGTGGCCCGTTAAATCATCTCGAGATCGTTGGGGAGGTGTGCTAGGGGCCGAGCTTGACACGAAAGGGGTCCGTAGGGAAAGCGGAGGAGTAGCATCTCTTTCCTTGGTCCTGCACAGCATCATCTCGATTCCAATTGCCCAGTCCCAACACTTTCGTCCTCTAGCATCCAGCGTGCGCGTGCGACTCAACAGCAGGCCAATCCCTGCTGGCTTGTGCTGTGCTTCTTCGGAGGAATCGCCAGACTTGTTGCTACTGCTGGCCTCGTCATCCTCCTCCATGCTCCAGATTGCAGCCAGCAAAGCCAACTGTCTAGGCGTAAAGTCGCGACCGGAAGCGCGCTCTACGACGGGTCTCAGAGCGCCATAAGTGAGCAGGCCGGGCAGTCGGATCATCTTTGATGTCTCTGCATCGCGCCGGTCTCCTGCCGCAGATGTGGCCTCTCGAGACAATTTGGATCGCCCGAAATTGGGTTGAGGAGAGAGTGGTGCGAATGTAGCATCGTCGCTGGATCCGCCGGGACCTTTGACAGCTAGATGAGCGACGAGCGCATGTTCAAGCGCCGAATGAAGCGCCAGCAGTGTAGCGTAGTGCTGAGGTAGAGGCAGATCAGGCGAGAGGTCAAAAGGGAATGGGCCAGATGAAAAGTCGAGGGACTTGGTCGATGATGCTTGGATAGCGTCGTTGCTTGTGCTCAGGCGATCTCGTGAGACTGCATTGGAAGTCAGAGAGAGTCGAGGTGCGCTGGAAGGCGTGCGGAAGACGGCTGGCCCATTGAGCGTTGCGTAGCTTGTTAGCGAGCGTCCCATGGCGCTGTAGCAGATGTTTGGATGATCAGGATGAGCTTCACACTGCCAGCTTTTGCTCTCCTAAGACTCACCTCTCCCGCACATCTTTGGTGGTGAGAAGCTCTTCTTCCTGCGCTTCGCGGTCATCGCCATTGAGGCATTCATCATCCAGCATTGCGCTAGGCTTGAGCTTCTTTCCGGCTGTCTGGTCTCCCGGGCAGGGGCTTGGCCCGGGCGACAAGGCGTGCGCGACGCGAGGGTTGAGAGCTGGCGAGGATGCAGACGCTGGATGAACGTCATGTTGCGGAGCGCCAGGTAAAGCAAGCTCGGTATTGTTCCTCATGAGCATCTCTCCTATCGTGGGTGACGTTGGCGGATCGTCGAGCGGCCGGGAGCCATGCAAGTCCACCATCTTCCTTCGTTTTCTGGATCGAGCCATGACAGGTTCAGGGGATGCAAATCCAGCTCTACCCTCGCTCCTCTCCAGCTTGGCTCGACTGCGCAGCTCCATACCCTCATCCATCCTCTTCTCCTCCTCTCTCCTCTTCTGAGCAGCTTTGGAGGGCGAGAGCAACAACCACATTTTGCCCGGCTGATCGGGATCTGTGCGCACGCCCAATCCAACCAAGGGTTGTTTGGATGAAGGAGAAGGACTGCCAGAGCGTGTCTGTGTTCGAGCTGTATGAGATCGACGTGAGCGAGGAGAGGGAGAGGGGGCGCCTAGTAGATCTGCACGAGGAGAGCTGTGTGTTGTGATGGGACGAGAGGGGGGAGGTGTGGAGGGTCTAGATGGACCCGCTGACAAGGTTCCTGCGTTCGAGGCAGCAATGGCGCCATTTGGTCCCTTTATATGCGCCTTGCTGCTCCCTGACCTGGTGGATGCGGGCTTGGAAGAGGGCAGAAAGGCGCTGGTGAGCGGACCTCCGGACATTGCACCTCTAGAGGCGTTGCCTGAACGTTGTGAAGGCATGTCGAAAGCGCAACCAAGACGATGAGCAATCGCTCGCGGCTGATGCGGAGTGCGTGGGCAAAGAATGTACGGCGATGGTGAAGTAGGTGTCGCAGGAAGAAAGATGAAGATGTGAATGTGTGCCTCTTGAAAGGCTTGGAGTGCCGATGATGCCCGTCGGTGGCCAGGTGGATGATGAGAGGGAAGTTGGAAGAGTCTGAGTGGCTCGAGCCACGTTGCGCGTCCAGTGTGAGTTGCCTTTGCAGACTCACCTCACCACTCAGACTGCCGAACGAAATCGCTGCCTCCTACGCAAGGCAAGCAAGCAAAAAGGTAGTCGTCATGCGCACTCTGATTGCAATGCCTAGATCCGCTCTCGTGCGGCACCGCACGAGCGTAGAGCAC